TATAAAAGGTAGAAAGGTATTTGACAATTAAACAACGGAAATAGAAACACAAAAAAAAAATCTCACCTCAAGCTCTGCCCCAAATGGTGCCGGGTTTTGAAGGCAATCATCCAGCGAACCACACACATCTTCATCGGTGCTTTTGCCATTATCCGTTGGGTTGCTACCTTCCATAGGGTTCTCTTTCGCAGCCATGTCATCTTGGTTATCATTAAAGTTGATATTGCCAGCTCCACAATATTGAGTGTCATCACAATCCGGGTTGTCCGAAACCTGCTGATCTTGAGCAACTTCACTGATGTTGCCTACCGGGCCTTGGGCAGGCAATGGTGCGTATGGTGTCTCTGACAGAGGGCAAAACTACAGGACACAAAGCAAAAAGAAACAAGAATTAAAACCATGAGTGCACAAGCAAAAATAAGAAGGTAAAAAATGGGAAGAAACAATGCTGCAATGAATGAGGGAAGTAAACCACACAAAAAACTTACACGACACTTCCCGAAAGAGGCTTTTCCCAAAGAAAGCTTATCCTTGTCAAAGTCCAACACAAGATCAAAGTCAGTCTGATGCACGAAGCAAGCCCTTGGAAGAGAATAATTCAATTGGTGCTCGTTGATGGCAGCTTGAGGAAATATCAAATGGTCCATGTAAATAACCTGAATAAGAAGACAAAAAAAATATCAGACACAATAAGAAGAAAAATGTGATTACAGAAAACAAAAACATGTTGCGATAGATAGAAAAATTCCAAAAAGAAAGAAGTATACCGCGAGCATAGGGAAGCAGCCCCCAACCCAGAATGAAGTAGCCTGTGATTTTATCTTGTCCTGGCACTTCTTAACCTCTCTCATTGCAACACTTAAAACATGCTCATCCCAAGCGAATTCAGTAACCTTGTCCATTTCTTCAAGGCTTTTCAAGTACTCTAGCGGCACCATGTTGCCAGTGCTTGGAGTTAAAACTGTTGCAAGAGCTAAGAGCACCCATGACCTCTTCGTAGTATCGCCATCATCATTCCTAGCTCGATGAAGCACATCCACTGTATGCATAATTGGAGCCCTGCCATTCTTGTGATAAATGTTGTGGAGCTCACAATGCTCATGTCTCTTGAAAAGCTCAACTGGTCTGTTGCCTGATGGGATATTGAAAACCTTCTTCACCATGTCTCGAGTAAACACAATGACCTTGTTCTGACTCAGCCTGAAAACCCCCAAAAATGTATTCATTGGTTGCTATCAACATGACCTAAAAAGAAAGAAAGTATATGTTGCAGACATGATGCATGAGAAAAAAGGAATAAGAAAGGAGGTGGGTGCAATACCTGAGCTCACGACTGTCAGTGTCAATGTTTATTGTTAACCACTCCATCAAATCATGTGGCGCTATAAAAGGTGAGATGCTCGTGAGATCACCGAAGCCAGTTTCATTTATGCAGTGCCTCTTGCTAGGATTAAGTTTTGTCTTCGCAACTTCGAGCAAGCGCTTTGTTGCGAAACGTTGGTTGAACGCGGTATCAGGCTCAATTACTTCTTCGTCTGTCATGTAGCTGCAAAAATCAAAATGAATAAAAAAAGTATTGGGCACAAACACCATTATACAATTACTACAAAAAGCGATGGGCATTTGTATTCCAGCATACTCAACATCTACCAAGCATAACAATGAAGCAAAACAATGAGCATTCCTTTCTTGCAATTACTTAAGAGTGGGTAAATCAAGAAAAACTAAACAATTAGCTGCATGACACAACCAGCTCAAAAATAAAAGTCTAAAACAATTACATGCATCAAAACACTATAAGATGGGAAAAATCTTGTCTAAATATAGAAATAAAACAAACAATAAGACTATGACTACATTGACTTTCATCTAAAAAACCTAATCTAAACAACAAATACAGCAAGAAACCATAACTTGACTAACCAAACAGTAGCATCACAAAAAAGACCACTGAGAATCTAGTCCTCCAACTCTGAAATCTCATCCCCTACCTATAAAAAACTCGTCCCCTACCTCTAAAATCTCAACTATAAAACCTAGCTACAACATGGAACCAAATTAATCTGATCTGCACAACAAACCCTAGGTGAAATGGGGGATGAATTTGGCGGTAGGAAGGGAGAAGCGGCTCAACTGAAACCCCTGAACAAACAACTCATCTATACTATGAATTCGACCCGAATGTACTCATCCAACGCTGGAAACTGTTGGTATTAACTGTGAAATGAACCGCTAAAAGGAAATCATGCAGGCGGGGAAGAAAAATGATGCGAACTGCAAGACACCATACCTCTCGTCCGCCGCCGCAACTACAGGGTGGTCGTGTAGCTCGGCGCCGTGGTCGACGGTGCTCGCCGCCGTCCGAACCTCCGGTTCCCTTGTCGTCCCTGCAGGATCCAGTTCCTCCGCCCCACCACGATTGTGGATCTCGGGTCGCCTGCGTCGTCGCCAAAGCTAGAGAGGAATGGGGATGGAAGTAGGAGGGACGACCGAGCTCACGGGGGTAGGAGCAAAATAAATACGTAGGGCACGCGCATCCACACCCCCGGTCAGAAAGCGTCCAGACCGTACGATGCGCCGTGATCCGACGGCGCGCGAGATGGTCTCTCGGACAGCTGCGTGCATCCGGATGAGAATGAGCGTTTTCCAAGTGAGTACCCCCTCCCTGTGCGTGTTAAATTGCCCCATTCCTGACATAGAAAAAGCAAAAAAGACATAAGGATGATCTTATGTTTCTTAGTATGTTCTTGAATCATACTGTATTAATTTAGCGATCTATAAGGGGCAAGAGTGTTGGGCATACAATTTTGAAAATGAATAAATTATAGAAAGAAATTTTGGAGTACTACTTACAAATGGAGTGCATTTAAAGAAATTAAAAACGTGCACACAACACAAGTATGATTCAAAGTAAGGCAACAAACAGAAATTCTCGCAAAAAAACGGACATTCTCGGAATCAAAAGGCATAGTATCAAATCTCGAATCTCTCATCCATTTTGTGCTTTCTCGCTTGCTTCTTGCATTACCATCTTTAAAGTCTCTGTAGATCTCTTAGTAAAACCTTCTTTGATTTGGTTCTTTCAGTAAGATACCGAATGGCGACGACAGGATGTGAGGAGGGAGAGTTGGCAGTGGAGGTAGGTTTAGGTCACTGCCGGTGTCGCCCATGGGGAGCGACGCGGGGGAGGAGCATTTTTTCGGCAGATCTTTCTTTTTCAATAAGATAGCCATGGCATCTGTTACAGGTATGCATCACGATGTCATCTCTGTGATCATCACCAAGTCCCGTGCCTATATCGTTGACCTATGTCTAGCACCCAAAAATGCTATACCCACGTAATTTTTT